ACGGACCGCGAGATCGTGACCTGGCTGAAGTCGGACGCTCAACTGACTGCGCCACCCAGGCGCCCCACAAACCTGATATTTCTAATTTCCACAGCCTACATTACAATTATAATAACTTACGACAGTATATTTTTTATAGATGTTTGACATTTTCCATAATAAAATTTTAAAAAATTCCTCTTTGACCCAGGAGTTATTTAGAAATGTGTCTACTAATTGATAGATTTATTGATTTTTTTAGACAACTATGTTGTCATTCTTAATTTTTCATGGCACTGCACCATGGTTAGCTATCATACACTTGAAAATAATTGAAACCTGTTTTATGTCAGGTATAAGTCAATTTCACAAAAGTCCCATATAAGCTTGAAAATTATGTGCATTTGCTTATTGTTGTAGGCAGTTTTAAGCACATTAGAACAAGTTTTTAATTATGTTACATAAATCTCATTTCGTGTCTTCTGATTCATAAATATAGTACATTAAAAATCTCCTTATATATTGGGCCATTTATCAATCTCTCCCAGAAAATAAGCTAATTTTTGTTATTTATTATAATGTTACATTACTGGGCATATAAAAAAGTTTAGAATTTTTATGTATATATATATATATATATATATATATTTTAAAGGTTTTTTTATCTTTATTTTTGAGAGACAGTGTGAGCGGTGGAGGGGCAGAGAGAGAGGGATACACAGAATCTGAAGCAGGCTCCAGGCTCTGAGCTGTCAGCACAGAGCCCAACGCAGGGCTCAAACTCACGAACCGCATGTTCATGACCTGAACGGAAGTCAGACGCTCAACTGACTGAGCCACCCAGGTACCCCATAGAGTTTTTATATTTTTTGAGTTGTTCCTTTTACCATTATGAAATAAACCTCTATCCTTAATAATGCTCTCTTGCCTTAAATACAGTGGCATTTCGGGATGCCTGGGTAGCTCAGTTGAGCATCTGTCTCTTGATTTCAACTTGTGTCATGATCTCACGGATTGTTCATGGTTCGTACCCCGTGTGGGGCTCCGCGCTGATGATGTGGAGGCTGCTTGGAATTCTCTCTCTCTCTCTCTCTCTCTCTCTGACCCTCCCCTACTCACTCTCTCTCTCAAAATAATAAATAAACTTAAATATATCTCTATCTATCTATCTATCTATCGCGGCATTTCTTCCCTTGGTATCTACTTTATCTTTTTCTGTGTACCTTGTAACTCTGGAAAATCTTTTGTAAACACTAGATTACTGGATTTTCTTTTAAAAGGCATACTCATGAGGGGGTGATGGGAGGAGAAAAAAAGGCATACTGATAATGTCTGACTTCTACCTAGGAAGTTTAGACCACTTTCACTTACTATGATTACCAGTGTACTTGGATTTATTCCTACTTTGTTTTTTGTGCTAACTATACTTTTTTTTTTAGTACACATTCCTTCCCTAACTTTTATTGTAATGATCATAATTTTATTATTCACTTTCCTCCCCCTTCTACCTGTTTAGAAATTACACATTCTCCTTATGTTATTTAAAAATATTTTTCTTACTATTTTAAAAAGCAAACTTTACTTACTCTAAGCTTCTTCTGAACAATAAATGGATCTTATTGGTATGATTTAATTCTTGACTTTCTTTCTTCTTTCATGTTATTATTATCCAGAATTTGGCCCCGTTTTATCTTGATAACCTCAATTAGCCATCCTTAAAATTATTGTCTTATGAAGTCCCTGATTTTTAGGAAACAAAGGGATAACTTTTTTCTTACCAATCCTTATACATCACCCCTTCCTTCTGGTTTCAATTTTCTTCTTCCTAAAAGAAGAAATTACTAGCTCTTCTAGCTAGTAATTACTAGCTCTTTCACATCACCAAAACCAAACACTCTCTTGTAAGGTTGTCACAGCACTGGTCACAGGGTTGATAATCTGAGGATTCTCCTTACTTTCTTGACAGCTAAACTGTCCATTTAAAAGGACAGGTGAGGGGCGCCTGGGTGGCTCAGTCGGTTGGGTCTGTGAGTTCGAGCCTCGCATCAGGCTCTGGGCTGACGGCTCAGAGCCTGGAGCCTGTTTTGGATTCTGTGTCTCCCTCTCTCTCTGACCCTCCCCTGCTCATGCTCTGTCTCTCTGTCTCAAAAATAAATAAATGTAAAAAATAATAATAAGAAGAAAATAAAAGGACAGGTGATCTGTTCAGTCAGCATCTCTAGGTGTTTGGGGAACAGTATTTTAGATTATCTAGCCTGCCACATTGTCAGAAGTGGAATTCAAAACAGGAGGAAAATTTGTAGGATGATGTCAATTCACAGTTGAAATACTAATAAGACAATTCCTTTAATGTTTTGCTAAAATAAAATAGGTTCTATGAATCCATATCATAGATGATACAACTATGTAATGCAGATTACACAAACATACTGAACCAGGGATTAGCAAAGTTTTGTAAATGGCCAGACAGTAAATGTTTTAGGCTCTGCAGGCCCATATGGTGTCTGTAGCATATTTTTCTGTTTTCGTAACACTTTAAAAATATAAAAAGGATTCTAAGCTACCAGACAGTTCAGAAACAGGCCACAGCGTGCCAACCCCTGTATTAAATAAACATACAGAAGTAGGTGGATGTATTCTATTTTGGAAACCACTGTGTTGGACTGCAGCAAAGCACAGATAAAAAAGTCAGTGCTGTCCACTTATACACACGAGAGGCTGTCCCAGGCAGGCCCACAGCCCACTGCCTGATAACACATGAAACTGTAGAAGAAAAAAATCATCCAATGAATCACACTGGAAAGGTCCACATCACATCCTCCCAATAAACACTACTAGGAAGCGCCAAGGTTCTCAAGTTTAGATTCACGTTTCCCACAACGTAAAACTTCCAACACTGTCACCGCTGAAGTTGACATCACGATCTTTTGACAAAGTTATTCGGGCACTCCAGAATTGTAGCTCTGTCCAGCCTGCCAGGCCCACTAGTTCTAAAACACTGACTCTTTATATGTTTGCCTGAGACACTATTTTCCGAGGTGGCTAACTGCAATGTGTCCCCAGGCTTCTGGGTACTCAGAAACTTCACCATCCCCACACATCTAACTCTGACCAGGTTGAGCCTTAGCCACTTGCAATACTAGTCAGGGTTTGTGGCTCCTAGGACAAGTGATTATGTGGCAACGTCTCCTCTACTAAATAGGATGGGCCCTTGGAATGAGCATTTGTTTATGCTTAGTGACAGGCAGTCACTTTGGTGACTGCTGAAATGTACCGTGACTTCTGGCTTTAACAGTCCTTAGGTACTGAGACAGTGCAGAGAGCAGTTGCCCTTTGAGGAGAGATTTTTGCTTTTAAAGCAATTGTGAAATTGTGCAATACTGTTACTTCTTAGTTTTAATCAACCAGCTGTTGATTTTAGCAGCTGTCACTAATAGCTACCCTGACTGTCTCCCTGCTCTGTATGAACTAAGAAACAAACAACCCTACCAACTGAGTAAAGTCCTTCCTAAGGTACAGCGAACAAGGGCAAGATTTTGCACACAGGATTGTCCTTTGATTCTAATTTAGTGGCCTAAGGCAAGAGATTTTGTCATCCTGGTTCCAAATAATCCTGCCTCTGTTCATCTGCCTTGCTCTAGGAGGCAGCACAGGAAAACCATTCATATGTGGCATTTGCTATTAGGACAGAAAGTGATTTTCATAAATGAAACTGCTGGATTTGAAGCCAAGGGGCCCAAGGCCAATTTCCCTTTGAGTGAATTAGAAAATGCAGAAATGTGAATTATACAAGGTGTTTCACTGTTGCTTAAAATAGTTCTTTCCTTATATGTCTTTTTCATACTGAGAAGATATCATATAGCCCTTCTGTGTATTTTTAGAAGTAAAACTTATCTCACCAAGAATTCAGACAAATTGTACAACATGAATAGAAAGAAAGCGGGTGGGAGTCTGACGAAATATAACTGTAGTGAAAATACGTGAAGGAAACCTTAAGAAAATCTGAAGGAGAGGTGACTAACGGATCTTCTGATGGAAGAGTGAAGCACGGTGACGACTTTGGGGGGAAATGGAGAATCTAGCATCTGTGTGCCTTGCTTGTATCAAGCAACCTCCTCTGGACAAGCCTGAACAGGATCTGCTAGGGAATGAAGGGGATTTACAAGAGTGGGGCTTTCCAAAACATGTTGCTGTTTAGCTGGAAGGCTTATGATAGCCAAACCACAAAGTGTTCTCTAGAAAAATATGTCAAAATTATGTTCTCTTCTACTGCTAAGAGAATATAATCTTTTCACTGTATAACAACTGTGAGTTCTGTTGCCGGTAGTAGGGAGAACATTCAGATCTACTACGCCTGAACTTTCTCTTCTAACAATTCCGGGAATACGAGTCACAAAGATTCTCCAGCAGAACCCTGACTTGTTCAGCAATTCCGTCTTCATCTGGAATTAACATCCCAGTCTACCTGGGCCCCAAATATGTCTGTAACTCCCATGAGAAGATAATCCTCTGAAAGGAAAAGAGAACACCTGTATACCTTCTTTTCTTTCTTCTTCTCCCACCCAAGCATCTACCACACTGCCAGATATGTAAGTGCTCAATAGATTATTATTTGGAATGAATGATTTCTATCTGATTTTTTTTTCCTACAGCTATGCAACTGTAACATAACGGGTTTATCAAATACAACGTAAACTGCACCGGCAGCCTTTTCTTTAGTCCCACGGACAGCTGTCAACAGGCTTCTGAATGCATATGAATTCAAATTACCCAGGCTAAAAAGGACAAAGGTTATCAGCAAAGCCTCACTTTGGAGTTGTTTCTTTTCTATGAGAATTTGTGTGGCCTTAATCTTTCATATAGAAACAATCAACCCCTTCTTTGTGCTCTGACTCCACTCAGGTACTGTGACATCTGCTAAACGTATATTATAACATTTATTGCTTTTAGGTAACATACCTCTGTATGCTTAAGAAGGCCTAGTACATTGTAAGGCACTCAATAAAGCCCATTCAAATGAATAAAAGTTATAAACAAATGTGTACTTCTCTGCATAATTTCCACACAGACTAAAAATTCTGAGTGTTTTATCTCTTTCTAAAAACATAGTAGGTGCGTACCTGTCCTCTTTATTGACTTGAGAATAATATGATCTCTGTCTGATTGCAGAATAGAAGGAGAAAGCCTCATTCAGATAGCTGGTCTCAGATGTGCGTAGGCTATGGAAAAAAAAATCTTCGTATTTGACAGTGTCTCAAACCATTTATGATGAATACTTGTTTCATTCCTCTGCTATTCCTCTACACGAGGGGATGGGAATGACTAAACTAAATTTGAATCAGCAAAGCAATCATCACATCACCCTTACAATGTGTAAAAATAATGGTAATTAAAAAAAAAAAATACCTCCCCACTGCTCCCAAGCCTTTTTTGATGGCAATCCAAAGTACATATTATTTTTGTTCTTTGAAGGGATTCTCCAAACAGCATTCCACCCAGTTACATCTTTCATGACCTTCCCCGAATCCATACACAGTCATTTGTCCTTTGGTTCATTTCTTCAGTTTTTTTCTCACAGGACTCAGAAATGCGCTAATCAATGTGAACCTTCAGAGGGCGATGTATTCAGTTCTCTAACATCGTTAGTTTTACAAGGGACTTCTTAAGAAAATATTCTACCCGAAAGAGTGATTTTAACAGGGGAATGATGGGTGGTATCTCAAAAGACAGGAAGAGGAAGAAGTTCTATATAGTCCAAGCTTTTTATGGTATAACTGATATCACTTTATGAGACCTAGATTCCTAAAAGGACTGCTCTTCCTTGCTTGACTCATCACTAAGGATGTAATCAAAATTATCTTTATCTGCTTCACAAAACCTTTTAGATATATCATACAGGTATGAGTTTTAAAGTATTCCCCCCAAAACCACTCATTCAAACATACAAGTTATGTATTAAGGTTTAAGTGAAGCGTTTATCTAAAACGGAGATCACAATCATTTAAGTTATAAATGCGTCTGCCCAAATAAACTGTTTGGAAGGTAAGCCTTTTAAGCAAATAATGTTACTTGGATTATGGAAGATCATTTCATAAGACTGTTTTGATTACTATGATCTGGGGTTTCATCTGTACCTCCTTAGTTTTCCCTCCTACCAAGTAAGTATACTTCTGCATGCTGTGTTTAAACCAGGATAATGCTTTATTTTTTTCCATACGCAATTCACTTACTAATAATGGTAGTATAGCTGCCCAATCTTAGAAGCAATTTCCCCTATTTGCCACCGCTTCAAGCCATACCGATTATCCAAGACTTGTCTGTTTTACATAGGAGATAAGAAAATAGAAATAAGAGACTATAAATTCCAAAAATAACCAAATCTGTAAATTTAATAGGATAAAATACCACCCAATTCAGAATTCAAATTCATGAATTTTTCATGAGATTTCAACATCATCATTCAATTAAATTCAAAAAGCAGTATTAAATGTCTATTTAAAGTAAGTTGAAATATGAAAAGAAACCGTTCTGAGCTAAGCTCATGAAAATTAAAAGCAACACCCCCAAATAGCTTTGACCAATAAACAATGCCTACATTAGAATGAAACCATGAATCAGCCTACCTACGTCACAGTTAATCTGAACCATTTCAGATATGACACTGTCTTTAAAAATCAGATGAGAACATTACATTTTAAAATCTTAAATAAAAAGGAAAAAAATCAATTCATTTTCATTTGTGTCATGAAGAGGAAATATATTAAAATGCACCAAGAGATAAAAAGGTCAAAAGTGGGACTAATATAAAATGGACCTTCACTCTCCTGTAACTATAAAATTCCTTTACCGATGCTGCTGCTGGAACTTCCAGAGTTTGGTGTAAACATCAAAAGTTCTTCCAAAATAGGACTGCCACTGCTTCTGCCCATATTGTGGCAAATCTCTGTAATACAAACAAACATGTATTAAATCAATTTCTTATGCTGTTTGGAAATTAGGTCTTGTGATGGTACAAACTGGATATATTTAAAACATTTGCATTCAGGCTTTCTTTTACTTAAGTTTATTCATCATTGAGAGAGAGAGACAGAGACAGAGACGGAGCACAAGCAGGGGAGGGTCAGAGAGAAGGAGACACAGAATCTGAAGCAGATTCCAGGCTCCAAGCTCTGACCTGTCAGCACAGAACCCGACGTAGAGCTCGAACCCACAAAGCGTGAGATCATAACCTGAGCCAAAGTCGGACACTCAACCAACTGAGCCACCCAGGCACCCCCAGTCTTTCTTTTAAAAAAAAGTAACAATTTTGGGAGTGGAAATGGTTCTATAACAAGAGCTCAGGACATGTTCTTTCCTATTCTTCCCTCCTACCTCTGTTCATCCTTAGTCTCCTTTGTAGATGCCTGTTCCACGAGGTTTCTAGCACTCTCTTCCCTCTCCCTGGCTGATATTATTCACAGCCACTTATAGACTGATAATTCCAAATGTTTATTATCTTCATAGAAGAACTCAGCACTTTGAAAAACATTCCACTATCTAGAAGTGGATGTACAGGTGGTATGGTTGTCCTCAATTCTTCTATCCTCTCCCTATGGGTGACACTATACATCCCTGTTCTTGGCCCTGGTGACTCACCGTCCACCCCTTAGAGACAAACTCCTCCCTGTCATAAGGAACATGGGCCTGGCCTTAAGACTTGCTTTGGCCAGTGAAATACAATGGCAAGTTACCCACACCATGTCTGAGAAGATGACGTAAGAGATACTACATAGTTCAGCATTTTTACTTCCCAACAACCTAAGACCAAGATAGGGCTGTTCCTCAGCCTGGAACACAGAGTAAGACACACTTAATGGAACCTCAGAACTGAAGACATCTTATAGCTAACATGGGAGCTAGAAATAAGTCTCTACTGTACTAACGCACTAAAATGTTGAAGTTGTTACAGCAGCCTTATTGAGAAAAACCCGGTACAGAAATGGATACCAGGAATGGGTTATTTCCATAACAAATACACAACATATGTAACACTGGCATTGGAATTTAGCAGCACCAAACCGTTACTGAAGGCTGGAAAATGATGACACATAGAATACAGCGGCAAAACAGCATCTGCCTGCAATCACTTGGAAAGGAGATGAAGTGACTAACGAACTTACGGATTTATACAAAGAAACTGGGAAAAGTATGTTACTAGCCCTGGATGCTATTAGCTGCACTTAACAAAACATGAGAAAGATGAACTCAGAAAAGAACTAGCTACAAGCAGGGTTGAAAGGAAAAGGGATAGCCCACGAGTTCCAGAACTTTCAGAATTGAAAGATAACAACAATTTCTAATGCATACAAGTAAAAGATACAATTGAGAGATGCTGGCTATAAATGCCACTTACAACTGAGTCTCACTCTCAGGGCAAAACCTCTTCATTAAAGCCCAAGAATAAATCCATGAGGGACACCTGGGTGGTTCAGTCTGTTAAGCCTCCTACTTCAGCTCAGGGCATGATCTCACAGTTCGTGGGTTCGAGCCCCACGTCAGACTCTGTGCTGACAGCTCAGAGCCTGGATCCTGCTTCAGAGTCTGTGCCTCCCTCTCTCTCCCTGCCCCTCCCCAACTCACGCTCTGTCTCTCAAAAATGAACATTAAAAAAATTTTTAATTAAAAATGTCATTTTTTTAATTAAAAAAATAAATCATTTGACTTGACTAATATGACAGAACTAGAATTGCAGTCATCAATTTTCCCTTATTCTTGAGACTCGGCTCTATTCTATTGGTTTTTCTATTTCCTCATTAACATTCTGTTAATTATTACAGCTTTATAAAAAGTGTGGCATCTTTCTTCTTTTTAAGGAACACCACGGCTGTTCTTGATTCCCTGTACTTGCCCATGACCTTTAGCATTAGCTTATGAAAGTTCTACCAAAAAAAAAAAAAAAGTCCTAATGGGTTCTAATGAGACCTCAATGAATCTAGACATCAATTTGGAGAAATGCCATATTAAAAATAATTTTTAGTGTTGGGGCACCCGGGTGGCTCAGTCGGTTAAGCATCTGACTCTTGATTTCCACTCAGGTTATGATCTCATGTGCGGAGCCTGCTTGGGATTTTCTCTCTCTTTCCCTCTCACCCTGCCCCTCCCTTGCTCACACTTGCACTCTCTCTCAAAATAAATAAATAAACATTTAAAAAAAAATAACACAATTAAAAGAAGTAACTTTTAGTGTCAGTAGTATCTCTTTCCATTTATGTTGAAAATAATCACTAAATTTTACAATGCTTTGCACAAAGGTCTAATATTTCTTAGTTCACATTACTACAATGTCTCATATTTTTATTGATTTGTGAAAAGTATCTGTATTTTTTAAGTTATGTCTTTGAATTATTTTTTGATGGTGGAAAGTTTCAGACATATACAAAAATAGAGAACAGTACAATGAATCCCCAAACACCATCCCAAGCTTCAGAGATAATAAATTTGGGGCTGATCCCTTCTACCTGCGGTTGTCAGATAAAAGTGTTCTTGTTTGGGGGCCCTCCACTCCTTTTCATTAATCTACCTGTCTGTGGTAATATAACTTTGTCTAAATCAATACCCCTCTGATCACCACTAGCACTATTTTCAATTAAGAAAAGAAGGGCAGGCTATATTTTAGAATGATCCCTATAACCCAAATGTCTACTAAAATACTTAAAATAGAGAAACATTGAAATGTCCCATAGTAAAAGGAGAGACTTTTAAATATAAATTCTCTCATTTAACCTAAGTTCAACTTGTATAAAAGAAATCCTTTATTATTATTTTTTTAATGTTTATTATTTTTTTGAGAGAGAGCAAGTGAGCGAGCAGGGGAGGTGCAGAGAGAGAAGAGAGAGAGAGAGAGAGAGAGAGAGAGAGAG